CGCCTTCATAACATCTAGGCTTGATTACTGCAATTCACTTCTGTTTGGAATCAGTCAGTCCTCCATTGCTCGTCTACAACTGGTCCAAAATGCTGCAGCCCGATTTTTAACTGGTACAGGCTATAGAGAGCACATCACGCCAGTTTTGGCCTCCCTGCACTGGCCACCCATTCACCTTCGGATCCATTTCAAAATTCTCATGTGTGTTTTTAAATCACTGAACAGTTCCGCCCCATCCTATCTCACTGATCTTCTGCAGCCATATGTCCCACCGCGCTCTCTGAGGTCAGCAGACCAGATGCTTCTCTCAGTCCCAGAAACCCGTCGTAAGCTCAGGGGTGACAGGGCTTTCTCTGTTGCAGGTCCACGACTGTGGAATGAGTTGCCACTGAGTGTCCAGCAGGCTCCCACACTCTCAGTCTTTAAGTCTCGCTTGAAGACCCACTTCTATTCGCTTGCCTTTAACACGGTGTGATTTGTTTTGGCCTGGTCTGTTCTCTACTCTGTTGGCCATTTTAGTTAGCTTCTGCTGCTATTTGTATCTGTATTTCTATTTTATGTTTTCCTGTCTGCTGTGCATGTTTGTGTTCTTTTGTACAGCACTTTGGTTGGCCTTGTTGCTGTTTTAAGTGCTATATAATTAAATTGGTATGGTATGGTATGGTATTTGAAACACCGGAGTGGTGGAGGGATATAAGGTCTGACCTGAAAATTAATATATCCTATTTTGATGTTTTTTGGCAACTCCATTCCTTCAAATTCAATGAGAATTGACAAACTTCCTACTTTTTCTCCATTCATTGTTTTTGATAATCTTTTCAAAGTATTCACTTTTCCACCTACAATACTTCTCTTAATTTTATCAAGATCTTCTTCCAGAGGGATTCCATAAATCACTCCTCTAATTTTTTTTATTTTCTCCCATGATTTTCTTCTCCAACACAGTTTTTTTGCAAATATTATCCACATTTAAAGCCTTATTCTTTTGTTCTTCATTTTTAAAAACTACTAATAGGTTTCCATCTCTCAAAATCTTTACCATTTCAACATCTCCAATTTTCTTTTTTATTTCTCTTGACACCACAATGGGGCTGATGTTATCTTGTTCTTCTTCATTCTTAAGTTTTAATATTATTTTAAATTCCTCCCTCACAACTTTCCTTCTAACTGTCCTTTCTTCTTCTGAACTACTCCCTTCCAGTTCTCGTTTACTACCTTGAGTATTACTAATTCCCTTTCCTTCATCTATTTTATTTCTTCCACATCCTCTCCCTTTCCCTCTCCCCACTGGCATCCACCCCTCAAAATCCATGTCCTCCTCACCTCCCATCTCCACCAGACCAGGCTCTGACACCGGTCATACAGGGACCTAACAGCAAGTATCAAAGGGCCTGGTACCCCATACTCCCAGAGTACCCCCCACAGGGCCCCCCGAGGGACGCGGTCGAACGCCTTGTCCAAGTCCACAAAGCACATGTAGACTGGTTGGGCAAACTCCCACGCACCCTCCAGGACCCTGCTGAGAGTGTAGAGCTGGTCCAGTGTTCCACGGCCAGGACAAAAACTGCACTGCTCCTCCTGAATCTGAGGTTCGACTATCCGACGGACCCTCCTCTCCAGAACACCCGAATAGACCTTACCAGGGAGGCTTAAGAGCATGAATCCCCTATAGTTGGAACACACTCTACGGTCCCCCTTTTTAAATAGGGGGACTACCACCCCGGTCTGCCAATCCAGGGGAACTTCCCCCGATGTCCACGCAATATTGCAGAGTTGCGTAAGCCAACACAACCCTACAACATCCAGAGCCTTAAGGAAATCTGGGCGAATCTCATCCACCCCTGGGGCCCTGCCACCGAGGAGCTTTTTAACCACCTCGGTGACCTCAGCACCAGAGATTGGAGGGCCCGACCCAGAGTCCCCAGGCTCCGCTTCCTCAGTGGAAGACGTGCCGGTGGGATTGAGGAGGTCTTCAAAGTATTCCGCCCACGACCCACAACATCCCGAGTTGAGGTCAGCAGCACACCACTCCCACTATAAACAGTGTTGGTGGCGTACCACTTTCCCCCCCGAGACGCCGGATGGTGGACCAGAATCGTCTCGAAGCCGTGCGGAAGTCGTTCTCCATGGCCTCTCCGAACTCCTCCCATGCCAGAGATTTTGCCTCAGCAACCACCCGAGCCGCATGTCGCTTGGACTGCCGGTTCCCATCAGCTGCTTCCGGGGTCCCACAGGCCAAAAAGGCTCGATAGGACTCCTTCTCCTGACAGCATCCCTCACCGACGGTGTCCATCATCGGGTTCGAGGGTTGCCGCCACGACAGGCACCGACAACCTTGCGGCCGCAGCTCTGGTAAGCCGCCTCGACAATAGAGGTACGAAACATGGTCCACTCAGACTCAATGTCCCCCACCTCCCTCGGAACATGTTCAAAGTTCTCCCGGAGGTGGGAGTTGAAACTCCGTCTCACAGGAGACTCTGCCAGACGTTCCCAGCAAACCCTCACAATACGCTTGGGTCTGCCAGGTCTGACCGGCATCCTCCCCCACCATCGGAGCCAACTCACCACCAGGTAGTGATCAGTTGACAGCTCCGCCCCTCTCTTCACACGAGTGTCCAAGACATGTGGCCGCAGATCAGATGAGACGATGACAAAGTCGATCATCGAACTGCGGCCTAAGGTGTCCTGGTGCCAAGAGCACATATGGACACCCTTATGCTTGAACAAGGTGTTCGTTATTGACAATCCATGACGAGCACAGAAGTCCAACAACAGAACACCACTCTGGTTCAGATCAGGGGGGCCGTTCCTCCCAACCACACCCCTCCAGGTCTCACTGTCATTGCCCACATGAGCATTGAAGTCCCCCAGCAGAACAAGGGAGTCCCCAGAAGGTGCACTTTCCAGTACCCCCTCCAAGGACTCCAGAAAGGGTGGACAATCTGAACTGCCATTTGGTACATAAGCACAAACGACAGTCAGAACCCGTCCCCCCACACGTAGGCGGAGGGAGGCCACCCTCTCATTCACTGGGGTGAACCCCAATACACAGGCACCAAGTTGGGGGGCAATAAGTACACCCATGCCTGCTCGGCCCCTCTCAAGGAAACTGGTTCCAGAGCCCGAGCCATGCGTAGAGGTGAGTCCGACTATTTCTAGCCGGAACCTCTCAGCCTCACACACCAGCTCAGGCTCCTTCCTCACCAGTGAGGTGACATTCCACGTCCCAATAGCCAGCTTCTGTAGCCGAGGATCAGACCGCCAGGGTCCCTGCCCTCGGCCACCACCCATCCCACATTGCACCCGACCCCTTTGGCCCCTCCCACAGGTGGTGAGCCCATGGGAAGGGGGACCCACGTCTCCTCTTCGGGCTGTGCCCGGCCGAGCTCCATGGGTAAAAGCCCGGCCACCAGGCGCTCGCCCACGTGCCCCACCTCCAGGCCTGGCTCCAGAGTGGGGCCCCGGTGACCCACGTCCGGGCAAGGGAACACTAGGTCCATTTATTTGTGTCATGTCCTCCTTACCTCCCATCTCCACCTCCATCCGAACCATTCACGTACCAGTTTATGCCCAAATCCGTCTTTTCCAAATGCGATATGTTTCTATATGTTTGTTTGTTTGTTTTTTGAGCCACGTCACCACTCTGCTCTCTCCACTTGCACTTCTGCATTTGACCACAGCTTTGATATTATTGGGTTTTTTTTATAGCTTCAAAATACTAAAAGATATGCTCCTCGAGTTATCGCTAATGGCAAGCGGTAGAGAAAAAATGGTGGATTGGGTTGTTTGGAAAGACTCCACAGACTTCTCCCCCCGACCAATCAGTGACCGACAGTGTGTCTGACGTCACGGCGCGGCTCGCTTGGACCCCTTGAGAAGCCGAGCCAGAATTTAGGGAGGCGAGCCGGTCACAGGAACAGTGGAAAGACCTCAAACGCGCGTGAAGCCGGAAATATCCGACCCGCGCCGTGACAGTGGAAAAGGGGCATCAGTCATGCAGGTCATCATCAGTCCCAACAAGAATGTTAAAAACTGGACTTTTATTCTGAAGCCAAACAAAGACATTCTGTTTCCGATCATCTACATCAATTCAAAAATGTGCAAAGTGAACTGCATATATGCTGGTGAAAATTCTCAGTCATCCAGGACATGATGAATTCAAAAAGCATTCAATACAAAAAGAACTGGACTTTATTTGTAACAGAAGACGTTTCGCTCCTCGTCCGAGGAGCTTTTTCAATTCAATGAGCAGTGAGTGAGAGATTCAGATTATAAGGCTGAGTGAGATAAGACACACACATATGTAGATTTGACAAGTCACACCTCAACACCTTAACAGTAGGGGTATCTTAGGCCCTGTACACACGTAGCCTGGTGTTTGAAAAAACGAATATCCGCGCAAAAAAATATCGCCGTACATACATGTTCGGATAGAGAAAATGATCGTCTACATGAACCCGGTGATGTTCACCACAGAGCGTTGTAAAGAATATGCCCAACCCATAGGAGGCAGTGTAGTGCAAAGGTGAAACGTATATCAGCCAATCACAACCCTTCAAAGCAACCACAACTTCCTGTTAGTATTGAATCATGGCGCCTGGAGGTTCGTTTGTGTGGACAGACCGCGAGGTTGAACTACTATTAAATACCGTGTTGGAGTACAAAGTTAATAAAACTCAGGAAAATGTCGACTGGGAATCCTGTCAGAACAAGTATGTTGATATTTTAGCGCTTTTTTTAGAGCATTACCCAACGGAGTCCTCCGACGAGTTTCCCCATTCACATGCCGACATCACGCGCGGGAATTTAACAACAAAAATGAAAGCAGTCCGAGGTAAATATCGCCATGCTGTTGATACAGGACGCAGGAGTGGACACGGTCGAGTGGTTCTTCTGTACTTCGAACTGTGCGAACAAATCTGGGGTGGCTCTCCAGCTAGTACTACCATATCCTCCGGTATTGAAACAGCTGACCTGGATCATTCTCGGACCCAACCCTCACCATCCACATCTTCTTCCTCCACTACCATGGATGTAGCAGACACAGGGTCTGATAATGAAAGCAGTGTGGGTCCTACTTCAAAGGAGAGGAGAGACCTGCTTGATGTACGTATATTTTTCTGTCCATTCCTCATAAATAAAAGTACTTTTGCTGTAAATGTTCATCTGTTGGATGTACTATAATTCACGGAACAGGTTTGTTGAATTGTGTTGCTATTAAAAATACAGTTAAGGCAATATGTGTGTTAAAAATTATGCAAGAGTTGAGGTGTGTAGTGGAGGCTGGAATGTGATGTTTTTTATATTTTACTGTGTACGGGTTGCTGATTTATTTTTATTATTATTGCAAAAAAGAAATGACACCATCATGCTCTTACTCATCTCATATTATGTTAGGCCTACATATTCATTAGTTTGATGGGGTGGTGGGTACAAAATACACTTTAAGACATATAGCAAACATTGGATACGCTGTTATTACATATTGTTATGTAGAAGTGATGTGAAAAGTACAACATCAACATGATCCAGGTTTACTTTTTTATGTTTAATTGTGATGATTTTCATTTCTCTTTTGAAGGCAAAACTAAAAGGACACAGACACGACCGTCTGAGGAGAAAGCTGCCTGCTGAGACCCAGTGGCTGAATGCTCTTGAGGAAGACCAGCGTGTGAAAAAGAGACTGGTGGAAATCATTGAGACATCAGAACAAAAAGCATCCGAAAACTATTCAAAAATGTCCAATACACTGGAAAGACTTACCACATCGATTGTTGATGGGTTTTCTCTTCTGAAACAGGTCATTCATGCACCTGCACAACCACCACACTACATGCCATATGAGCCAAGAGGTCCGATGTATTCGCACACAATGGCCCACCATTCTGTCCACCAAAACTCAGCAAATTACCCATACCCAAACAACTCCACTTCTGACAGAACACGTCAAAACACAAGACCAGGAAACACTATGAACACTGAAGCTGTGTTCCACACACCTGCTGAAGCCACTGACCAATTTTCATTCAGTCAGGCCCTTTTTAATGACCAGTAGAGTACTGTTTTATACATCGAAACAAGTCTGGTACAGTTAAGTATATACAAGTTCCACTTTTGCACAAGGTTGCACACATGTCAGGTTGTTAATCACAGTGTTATTTACTCTGACAGTGTTTTTTTTTTTCTGTTTGCTATCTTTTTATACATACTGTGAAAAGCTTAAAATGTAGCAATTGCACAATACTTTAACTATTTACATTTTTGTTACGTGAATCTTTATAAGAGTGGTGATCTAGTCCAGTCCTTGGGAGCTACTGCTACTTAGATGTATTTATTTCTCCAAAACACCACTATCAAATACATACTGATGATTGAAATCAGCTATTTCATACTGGTTTGTTGAAGAAAATGCAGCTGAAATGTACCTGTGGTAGCTCCCAAGTTATGGACTTGGGCATCACTGATTTAAAAGTGTACAGTAACTGTGCTGCTTTTCTCCCATGTTTAAAAAGCTTTATCTGTTGTAGATCTGTTATAATCTGATCTGTTCATAAATGAAACACAAAATAAGAACATGTTAAGTGTGTTCGTTTGAATAAATTGACAAACATTTTAAAAGCAAGTTTCTTTATGTGAATTTTTGTGAATATGACATTTATCAGTTACAAATACAGTCATGTTCATCAGAAAGTATTGGCAGCACTATTTAATACACTACAGGTCCAATTTTAAGAGAGAAAAGTAAAATCATTTCACTTAAAAGTCTGTCTAATGAGCTACAAACTATTATATAATGTATCTAAATCCTGGGTGGTAGCTTTTCATGCATTAATAGAATGAAATGCAATAACATTGCACAAAACAATTTAAAAATTCTCTAACATACATGGTGCTAACTATAACGTTTTTTTATGAAAAAACAACGCAGTCTGCTAAATAGTTCACAGGTTTTTGTGTTTATGGATCCAGACACTGAGTGAGGACTCTCCTGACCCGCTTTCCTTCTGCTGCCAAGCTGTCTCCTCTGACCACTGGCTGTGTGTCCGGTTGATTGTTCCTGTCATGTTGAATAGCTTCAGTTATTCTGTTTTCATCCACAGTGTCTTTTGATGCCTCACAAAAATTGTGCAACACAAAACATGCATATATAACAAATGGAAGTGTAGTGGACTAAGCCTACGTCGGAACCCAGTCTAAGGTCAAAACTCTTGACCTTTAGAACCTTGTGGGACAGAAGCTGTCATTTCATGTATTTGACTCCATAAATACAGGTTCACCCATCCTGAGACTTTCTTTCTTGAAGATTCAAGTGAAAAGAACACTCTCTTTTTATAATCATTACTGTCTTACAAATGTTTTGATAATCAAGTTGTGTTAGTTCACTCAATGCTTTACAGGTTGAAAAGAACTACTCATTTTTATTTTACATAAACAGTAAGTAATGATTTTTATTCCTCATTCAGAGAAGAAATCACCTGAATAAGCATTTCTTGATTTTCTGTCTTTTGAATGAGCAAGTGTGTGCGTTTACAAGGTTACAGTCAAACGAAAAACAAGTTGTTATGTTAAAACTGTCATGTTTTAGAATCCTCTCAGACGTAAATAGAGATGTTTTGCACCTGTGTCTTAGGCACGCCAAAACAGAACCCTCTCGGTCTGTGAGAACATTTCTGAGCTGTCTCATAACAATTCTCGCTGTCTCTAACCTATTACGTCACAAAAACACACCCCTTCTGGTCGTTTCTGACCAATGAAAAATCCCAAAAAGTGAACCGGGAAAGAGCCTTTAAAATGTCAGTACTTCCTGGTCTACAGAGACTCACAGAGACTCAGAGACTCACGGAGTTACAGAGTTGGAGAGTTGTCAGACTTCAAGAGTTCTGTGGGAGTTCTGTAAACTACACGAGAGCTAAAGTTCTGATGGAGTGCTGTTGGAGTTCCTGACATGACAACGAAGCTCTTCCGAGTTTCATGGGATTATAACATTTCCACTGAGGTGAGCTGTGGCGGACAGAATCTCGCCGCTACTCCGGACGAGTAACAGCATCCTACGGAGACGCTGAAAGGGTGCGTTAAACGGAATCTCGCCTGAGACATCTCCAGGTAAAAGAGTCGTTTTCACCACCTAAGTGTACTGTGAGGAAAAGCTGAAGAAAGCCCGGAGAGTGCCGTTCTGTTCAACACTCTACCTCAAACACCATCTTTCTCCCCTTTAAACTTCATCTTTCATCTTAAACTTTTCTATCAAGTAGAAATTCTCCCAGATATTTAGAAATGTCTGTGTAAAGTGCTTACCCACATTCATGTGGGTAAAAGATCATAGTTGTACAGTTATAAATGTCTGTTGGTGCAGCAACGGAGAAATCATGGCCGTATGATTTTTCCTGATTGATTGCTTTGTTGTTATTTTCATAATTTGCCAAATTAATGTAAATGTTTGATGTTAAATTTGATTCTGTAAATAAATGACCGCATTCATTTTGATGGGTCAAATTTAAATGACGTCTCCCGTTTGCATTTCCTTAAATTCAGTGCACGTTTTATTCAGTCCAGAAAAATGAGGAACTCGCGTTAAATGATGAATATATCCCAGCATCTGTTCATCTACAGAAGATCATTCATATTGATGTCCATGGCTCTCCTCAGGGCTCCAAATCGGGCTTTTAGTCTTCCAAATGCACATTCAATCACCATTCTAGCTCGGCACAACGAAAGTCCAAAGTACTGCTCCTGAACATTGCTTCCTCCGTTAGCATATTCTTTCATCAGGTAAGGTAGAAGTGGGTATGCAGGGTCACCCAGTATGTAAATGGGTATAGCGTCTTCGTTCTCCACAATTTGTCTTGGACAGGGGGGAATCTTCATGTTTTTCAGATTTGTGTTTATTGTGGAGTTAGCAAAAACTCTGGCATCATGCACACTCCCTGGCCATTTCACAACTACATCAATAAAGCTGTACTTGTAATCACAGGTGGCTTGTATGTTAAGAGAAAACCTCCCCTTCCTATTTAGGTACTCTGTAGAATTAGCTGATGGCTGCTTTATCTCCACATGAGTCCCATCCACAGCTCCAAGGCACTGAGGGAGACCATAAGCCTGCTCAAATCCCTCAACAAGTGCACGCACAGCAGTCTCTGTTGTTGGCATTTTTATGTAAGATGGTCCCAAGTACACAGTTATAGCCTTACACACCTCTCTAATTATGTTTGAGACTACTTGTCTTGATAAGCCAAATGCATTGGCCGTTTTACGCAGTCTTCCCTCGTCAGCCAAATAATATAGCGTGCATGCAACTTTTTTGACCACACAGACTGGAGATCGCATTACAGTACTCTTCCCTTGAATGTAAGGAAGGAGTAACTCCGAGAGCGACAGTAATGACGACCGTGACATTCTGAAGTTCTCACGCCATTCCTGTGGGAGAACAATTTCCTTCTCAAAGTTTTCCCACCAGCCAGCAGTGCGTCCAGGTCTGATCCAAAACCGGCGACGGCGACGCTGAATGGCGGTATTGTGCCTCCGTATCGGTAGGGATAGTTGCTGTAAAAGAGCTGAACGCCAAACGCTTTTTCTCCTTTGTAATTCCATCTGTTGGAGCAGTTGTGCTTGTAAAAACAAGCAAGCAAAAATTGCCTGAACCAGCGTTACAATTAGTACTTCCCTAAACGCAGTCATTTTCCCTCCGAATGAATGGGCAAACAAAAACAATTGTCGCACATGTGACGTCAGCGCCGCGCTGCACCATCTGTCGCAGACATAATGCGCATATCTCCGGTTCCGAAAGTCCACACGCAAACCCGAAAGAGGAGATTTCTCAAATCTCCACTTTGGTCGGAGTTTTTGTTATTATTCGTTTATAGTTACATCAACCGGAGTTCACGTGTGGATGAAAGGCCACACCGCATGATAAACTATTCGGTTTTCCTGATATCCGGCTACGTGTGTACAGGGCCTTAAGGTCTTTTGTTACTCTAATTCACAGATGAGACCCCTCTGTTCCCATCAAATGTGAAAACAGGCTGGGAATCTGTCTTAAAGTTGCATTATAGGTTTTTGAAAGTGGAAATCTGAGGCCTCCTCCTCTGTTAAGAGATGGCTTTTCCCTTTTACATAAATTGCCTCCTTCACCCCCCTCTCAAACCATCTGTGTTCTCGGTGCAAAATGTGCACATTTTGGTCTTCAAAAGAGTGTCCCTTATCTGTGAGGTGGAGTTAAACAGCTGAATCTTGTCCTGAAGAGCTGGCTGTCCTGTGTTGAGCCATACGTATGTGAAGAGGCTGTTTAGTTTCTCCAATGTAGAGGTCTGGACAGTCCTCACTGCATTGGACCGCATACACTACACTGCTCTGTTTGTGTATGGGTGTTTTGTCCTTAGGGTGGACCAGCCTCTGTCTGAGAGTCCTGCTGGGTTTGAAATGTACTGGGATGTTGTGTTTGTTGAAAATCCTTCTGAATTTCTCTGATACTCCAGCAACATAAGGGATGACAATGTTTTCCGTCTGTTGTTCTCCTTTTTCTGTTTATTAGTGTGTTTTGTAAACTTCCTTGCTGACTTGACAAAAGCCCAGTTAGGATATCCACATGTTTGGAGAGCTTCTTGAATGTGTCTCTGTTCCTTTTCCTTCCCTTCTGTCTTTGTGGGGACGCTGTAAAGTTCTGATGACAGAGAGTTTGTGTTCCAGTGGATGGTGGGAGTCAAACAGAAGATACTGGTCTGTGTGGGTTGGTTTTCTATAAACTTCAATGTTAAGGCTGTCCTACTCAGCCTTATAACCTGAATCTCTCACTCACTGCTCATTGAACTGAAATAGCTCCTAGGATAAGGTAAGGATAAGCTAGATAAGGATAAGCTAGGATCCTAGCTCGAGGATAAGGGACACGCTTCTGAGGACCAAAAGGTTCACATTTTGGACAAAAAAGACAGATGGTTTGAGAGGAGGACAAAGTTTTTTTTTGTTTTCATTTACCCTTTATTTATACAGGTAGTCTCATCGAGTCACAACTAGAGCTCATTTTCAAGAGAGACCTGTTTTTGGGAGCAGATGGTGGGGTTTAAGGCCTTGCTCATGGGTCCAGAGTGGGGTAAATGAGGGTAGAGGCAGGTGTGGTTGTTTCATCTTTTCCACCCACATTTTGATGTAGAAAATACTGGGAGTTGAACCTGCAACTTTCCGATCACAGGCCCATCTTCTCTAACCTCTGTGCCACCACTCCCCAAGTAAGTCATCTACATCAAATTTGAAAGAAACAACTTAAAACAGAGGAGGAGGTCTCACATTTCTACTTTCAAAAACTTACAGTGCAGCTTAAGACCTGATTCCCAGCCGGCTCCACTCCAATTCACACCTTTATGCAGATGACCAACATATTTCTCTCATGAAACCAAGAGTCCAACAAGCCTCCATCAGCACACTATACAGCTTGGAACGCCACTATCTTCAGACATTTTTGAACTGATGATGCCTCCCGAATGGGACAAAAACGTCTTTAGTTTTAGAATAGTTCTATTGTTTTTGTTTTTTAACCTTTTTTGGATCAGCTGAGCAATAATTAATTGCACAAGATCTGTTTTTAAAACTATTCCATTTATTAAAGGAGTCATCTCTGCCCATCTCTTAACCAAATATCTCAAGGACCACTGGATGGATTCAAATGAAACTTAAAAAAAATATCTTTAAATCTACAATCTACAACCTTTGTATGGAACTCGTTCAAAAATGGCTCCACACCTAATCAATCTTAGCAAACAGACTATAATTTTACAGATACTGAGCTAAACTTTGTGAGGTAGTGGCTGAGAGTCATCTTCAACTTATACTTCAAGCACTGACAAATCATGCACGATCTTTCATTATGACACAAGACACAAGCATGGTACAACTACAGGAGCTCTTTGTATCTCTTAAAGGCTGCGGGTGATATGTATGTCTTCTAGTAACAGCTGTCAATATTGTTGTGTTTTGGCTAAAGTTGAAACTAATTCTGTGTTAAGGTAACAAATTGTTGAAAATATAATGCAGACTAAACCTGAAATAGCTGATACAGTAAGTAAAATTGTAATCCTAGGAACATTTGACCTATCCCTATTTTCTACAAGCCCGTCTCAAAAGCTGCTCAGTAGACTCCCATGGCTGTTTTAGTAGTAAAAACATATATGAATTATGATTAGTCTGGATCCTGTAGTAAAAATAAATGTCTTGGGAAAAGAGGCTTTCTTTATTTCCCATTTATGGTTTTAAATTAAAATGTGGCATATGGCATGATGGTAAACAGACCCTCCTCAGCAGAGTAGATGGTGGTAACAGGTCCAAACGGCCCTTCCCCTTCGTTGTTGTAAACTCCAACCTTGACATGGAAAGGCGAGAACGGCTGGATGGTCTCGTTTTTGAAGACATATCTGGAAACCTCAGGCGATGGGACCGCTGCCTGCATCCAGCCTGTGGCACCGTGGGGGCGAAAGGCTACAACGTAGCCGAACCCAGGTCCGTTCTGTAGCTCCTCTGGAACAGGCTGCAGAAAAAAAGGTCAGTCTGAGCACATCTCACACACTAACCTCGTTCCTTCAGCACAGTTTGGACATGATGGACTAAATACAAAACCAGACATGAGGGCTCTCCATGCAGCGTGTGAGGCTTCAAATAAAACTCACTGAGCACGAGTGCTTTACAGCAACAGAACACAGCATTCAGCACTGTGTTGTAAAGTCAGTCTGATAACACGGATGGTTTTGGTTCTAGTGAATGAACCAACCCTCTCGGGGTTACATGCTCCTAAAACACACACATTATTTCTTGAAATAACAACAACAAAACAAAAACTAAAACAATTGAACTTGTGTTCTGTAGAATGGCCATTCTGTGTTCTTTGAATCCTTTTTGTCTGATTCAGAGGAAAAAATACAAAGTAAAAAAAACCCCAAAAAAACAATATCAAGCTATCTATCAAGCTAAAAGTCGTCTGAGTCATGAGTCAGCAAGAAAAGGCTTGACTGAACTAATTTGAGGCTGTAGGGGAACACATGTGCAAGATATTGGATTTCTGATCCGGTCAAACCCGTACCCTTTAACAGGTTTTACTCTGGACCGGCCTCACCTCAAAACATATATAAACCATGAGTTCTTGTAACAAATTTAATTCCTGTCCCTCGAAGAAAACACGAAGAATCCGTAATTTAAATACAGTTTTGTAATGTTTATTTTCAGTTTGATTTATGACATGGAAATTATGGCAAATTTTGAATATGAATATGAACCAATAATATTATTTTAAAAAGTAAATGGCATAAATCTGAAGACTTTGAGAAGGGGTTTGATTCAATTTGAACTAAGGTCTAGCTCTTAAAATTAAAATTTAGGTCAGTTTATCTCAGATTCATGAATTAAATTATCTAAACAAACTTAGTTGGTACTTTTCATGGTCCTGTCATAAGAAGGAAGATGTTCATCTCTCATTACCACAGCAGATGCATGAAGGAAGCCGGTGGCCCGCTGTCCCAAGAAGGATGTCGTTTCTCAGGGCTGCGGTTTGTTCGGCTCGTACCTTTAGCTCCAGGGTGTTTGAGATTTTTCAGGATATGTCCACCATCTCTCAGCTGGACATGTCTTCTATCATATGGCTGTTGTTTCTCAGAGAGACTCATCAACTCTCCAACCATTCATTCCATCTGCTCAGCTCAGCTGATGATCCCAAGCCAACTTTCCTCATCAGCTGCCATCTCACAACTCCCCTGGTGTTCAGTATACCTGGCACCAGGAAGACAGGCCCCTTAACTTTTAACCAATCAGAGGGCTTCTTACAGTAGGAGTATCCCACTGTATAATTAATGTAATTGAAATCTCCCTTCTCAAAGTTCTTCAGAGGAGATAATACAATGACCCTTTGTTAAGGATGTGTGACACATGCTGATACAAACAAAATGGGTTTCTTTGAATCAGAACTTCCAACTGGGGGTTAACTTCCTTTACTGTCATGGTGACCAGTCTCTGTTGATAGGGCCAAGTGAAGCTCTTTGATCAAGACCCTTCTTCAGGAGTTTCAAAGTCTGGTGACTCAGCATAAAACGTGAATTATACGAAGGGGGTCCAGAATCATGTAACATGTCAGGGTGGTCTCAACTGTAGATTTTAACACACACACAAAAGGTTAACAAAGAAACTTCCTGTGACAGAGCAGGATGCCAGTATCTGTCCCAGATTAGCAGGAAAGGAGGGGGTAGGGTAGACGTGGTGTCTCTGAGGACATTTGTCTTAAGTTTCTTGGAAGTTTGGAGTTTCTACATTACCCCACTTGCGATTTACAACTTGGGTACCTTATTGGTGAATCGCAACTAACAGCGTCCTTGCTTTAGGAGTGTTCAAAAGTCATGGCTTATGTATACCGAGTGTGGTAAACCTGGGACCACAAGAAATGAGTTATTCAGTTCTCTATGATTCCATTTAACCCTGAGGGTACAAATACCCACAGCTTTTAAGGTACGAGATGATCTTAAATCTTTTTGGAAATGAAAAGCCTTTCTAACCATTTGGAGGTTAGAGTGTTTATGCACTAAGGCCTCATAAAGGTCTTGGCTGATGGCGGACTTGTCAGTCCAAAGAGACAACACAACATTGTTCACTTGAGATTCCTGAACCTCAATACCTTTAACCACTTGTGGGAGGTAATATTCACTGGATGGTGATTGACTCAGTGAACACAAGAACGTTTCACATTGGGCTACTGCTAGCTTCAATGGTTGATTATGTGTGGCTGGCATTACCTGAGTTTGGGGCAGGATCTCATTTTCCTGAGAGTTGTTATCAGGTTGGGAGATGTTGGTGTCATCAGAAGTATTCTGTGTGGCACACTGAGAGGTTACTTCTGGAGAGAAAGTGATGGATAACGGTTGGCGTACTTGCGCCCAGACTTTGAGATTCTTGGAATCGATCAAAGGCTGAAACCGGTTTAAAAGATCTTGTCCTATTAGGAAAGGGATTGATTCCATTTGTGACACATATATGTGGTGTATAAGCGTCATTGGACCAATCTGAATCTCAATCAGTGCCACCTCGGATAAGGTAGTTTCTTCAGAAGAGTATGGTCGTAATTCTAATGAAAAGTTCTGAAGGATTAAATCTTTGCCAGCACGATTTGCTGCTAACCATATTTTTTTAAACAGTGTGGCAGATATTAAAGTGATGTCAGCTCCTGTGTCCAGGAGAGCATCATGAGACAGGACTTGTTCCAGGGTCAGCGAAAGATAGAACTTCTTTGCTACCCCTTTTTCAGTAAGGTCACACAAAAACTTGTGTACCGGAGGTTTTATTCGGATCCTAGAGTCATTGTTTTCAAACAAATGATCTTCAGCAGTTGTTTGTACTGTTAAAACAGCACTGGTTATGTTTGACTGGTCAGTTTCTGTTACTGGACCAGATATGTCAACATCTGAGGTCTCTATTTCAGCTACAGGAGAGGGATCACAATCTGCCGTTGCAGATGGAGGGTTCAACTCCTTAGCTTGTGGTTCCAATGGCTCGTTGGTAACATTTAGAGACTCTGGTTTTGGAACAGAAGATGTTAGACAGGAGATCAGTCTTCTTAGACTTTTCCTGTTTACACATTTCTTCTACTATACATCGGATCATTTCCATCTCTTTGGAAGTGAAACCTTTATCGTCTTCATCTC